ATAAATAGTGAAAAAAAAAGTCCAACGTGTGAATTATTCTGGGACGGGAGCATTTCTTTAGCTTTGAATTAGGTTATGTTTGATTTACCTTATTTTTGTTTATCTGACCTAATCTATATTTTTTTTTTAAATGTGAACTATTTTTTTCCTGATATGATATGATCTGATTGTATTATAAAATGAAATGAGGCATTATATAATCATAAAAATATTGCATTAAATTGAGTCAATACTCAATTGTATATTTGTATAAGGAAGATTAGAAAATCAAAAACTGACCGACTTGACTCAATTTGATCTGACACTAAATTAACCTGATTTTTATACTTAATGGACATAGTTATATAGTATGACTCAAACTTGAAGTAGCCTTGACCCAACCTGAATTAACAAGATTCTACTGGGTTACCTTAAATTTACATAAACCTCTAAAAGATAGTGCAGAAAATTGAGTTCTTTAAGCTCTTATCGTTAATCATGTTTATGGATACAAGCTCTTGCTTATTAATGTGCTAATGAAACTATATGAGTATATCTACAAACATCTATGTTTCTTGTTGAATTTTCAGTAACTCGATCAGTAGTACAAGTAGGAAGTGATGGCAGTGACAATCGATTAAAAGTAAAAAAAAAAGTAAGCTATCAATACATTATCATACCATGGATAAATAAATGTGGGCATATGATTTTCTCTACAATGTTAGACGTGAAATCATTTTTGTATTGATAGTATAAACTAATTGCGAGTTTCAACAATCAGCTTAAGATTTTTATTGACTTGGATTTTTAAAAATAAATGGGATCAAGATAGAAGCAGCATCACAAGAGGGTCGTGGTTTCAATTTTCATTCACCCCTTCTATTAATCGAAAACTTTAGCACTAGATAAGGGGATGCTCATGCTACGTTCATATTCAAGCCAACAGAGTCTTATGTGAGGGTCGTTTTAAAGTATGTAAATCAATCATGAGTTTTAATCATCTTTTGGTTGAGTTGATCATCTAACAATCACCATTACTACTAATTCTATATATCTTCATTATTTTCAATCTTTTTTTTCTTTCAAGTTACACATATTTCTCATTTGATTTTGCTACTAGGTCATAGTTCCTTCAATATTTTTTAGTTGCAATGTTTTGTACACTATTCATGCAATAATCCTTTAACCAATTTTAGTGATTTATATATTATGAAAATCATGTCATATCTTATTCGTTTCGTTAATTCTTCATTTAAATATGTTGACTTTTCATAATGCTTACTAAAGTATAGTTAAAAATATAAATAATGTGTAATATATATTTTGACAAGTTTGAATAACATTGCAATAAAAAAAGAACGAAAGAAGCATTGTTCTCATATAAATAACACAAACTGTTGGGTCCGCACCCAACAGTTCATGCGACACCTCTTTCTTTCTCTTTCTCTCTCCTTCTTTTCTTCCTTTCTCTTTCTATCTCCTTTGCTCCTCCTTTTTCTAGATCAAAATTAAAATCAAAATCAGAATTTCACATCAATTATATTGTATAAAACAATCATAAATTAATCAAAATTGATGATTTGCTCTGTTTGAAAGCGGAGGAGTAGGCGACGGCGGCGACGTTGGAGGATAGAATTTCTGGTTTGCAATTTGCGATCGAAATTTGTTGAACAATTAAGACTGTTGAAAACTCATCAATAGTACTACAATCGGCTTAATTTGTGCGATTTGCGGGTGGTTGGCTACGGTGGTGTGAATTTGGACGTGGTTGGCTGCGGTGGTCGTGTGAGTTTGAAGGTGGTGGCTTGCGGGCTATGAATCGAAATTGGGACTGCCACATTCCCCACCTACCACCACACATTCTCTCCTTCTTGCTTAGTTTGCATGGTTGGGCAGTCTGCCTGGCTGCGCGGCTGGTCATGGCTACGGTTGTGCTCCGGCGTGGCTACGACAGGAAGAAGAGAGAGTGTGGTGGTCGGTCGAGGCTGCGACGGGAAGGAGAGAGTGTGTGATTGGTTGTGGTGATGGTGGGTGAGGGCTGCGGCAGGAAGGAAAGTGGTTGTGTTGGTGGCATGATAGGATTAGAAGAAAGAGAAGTAGAGATAAAGTGAGAAGAAAATAAATATCTTTAATATCTTGGTTGATATGATTTTGCCATTTTGTGATAGTTGGCTTATATCTTTGAAATCTTGGCTTATATGATTTTGCCCATGATTTTGTGAAGAAGAGTGAGGAGTAGAGAAAAAGTGAGAAGGAAATAAAAATATATATTGTATATTTTAATCATATTAGCTAACAAAGGACGCATATCAGCCATTAAAATGAACATATCAGCCAATTGATGTCTAATATCAGTCAACATTAGGGACATATCAGACATTAATAAAAACGTATCAACCAACAAAAAGAACATATCAGCCAACAAAAAATACATATCAGCTAACAAGAGAAATATATCAGCTAACGAAAGGTACTTATCAGCTAAGAGATGGAACATATCAGTCAACTAAGGAAACATATCAACCAACCAAAGGATGAAATCAAGAAATAAAAGCAACAGCTAAGCCAACAAAATAAAACATATAAGCCAACAATTAAAATATTGATATCAACCAACAAAATAAATATACCAGGCAACTAAAGAAATATATAAGTCAAATGATGTCTAATATCAGCCATCAAATCAGCCAACAAAAGGAAAAATGAAAAAAAAAAACATATCAGCCAACAAAAGGAATATATTAGCCAACACAAAAACCATATCAACCAACAAGTAAAATATATGAGTCAAAGCCTCCTACACCAAATTTACGTGCGGACGTTCGCACCCAATATCTTCTCTATAAATAATCATGATGTTTAATCATATATTAGTTGGTATATAAAAGTACACATAATTTCTATATTTTGTTTGGGTTGATAGTGTAGTGTATACTCAGGTTACTAACAACTCACAGTAAGCACAAAGAGTATTGCATATTTGCATTTCATAATTGTTCACACACACTTGAAATAAAACAATCAGACACGAAAAGGGGTTGATTAACCGCCAAAGTAGTCCAAACCACGGGAGTTTTGTTGTGGGGAGGCAAAGGTAACAATGGCTTAACGAAATAACGAATCAAACAATGGGTCCCACGCTTTAGCTACGAAATAAATTAAGTGGGCCTTAATCAGGAGGACTCAAATCAGCCAAAATAGCCCACCTCACACCTTTGTGCTCAATACTCTTTCTATTCAACCGATATCGTAATAAGTGTATCGGTTTGACTTTTGCATACATTATTCATAATTTCATATATCAACTTTAACTTAATTTAATACTATTTCTCAAACGGCTAACTCGTATGAAACGTACGCCATAGGTAGCCATGTGCGATGTTCAAGGAACTTTTTCGACTTGGCCTATGTTACAAATTAAATTGTTGACAATTACTCATAGCATTAATGAAGGAAAGAGAGTCTATAGTACATGACAAATACCTCTATGTATTGTAAATGATATGTACTGCTATGTATTATTAAATTACATATATAAAAAAATAAATAAAAAAAACACTTAACTGTTGACGAAAATAACAAATAAAGTTCACATGTATAATTTCTTAGGACATCAATTATATGCATAAGTACAATAAGAGGACAATCAAGTGTGTATTTTATTGTAAATGTTTGGCTATATAATAAGAATTTACATAGTAGCATACTATACAATTTTCACCCATCTCCTTTTACTTCTTCTTTACTTCTTTCACATATAAAAAATTTTCTATCGGTAAAAATCTTTAACACGTTATCAGCACCAATTTTCTAGTCAGGTATATTTATACCTACTTTTTAAAATTTATAACAAATATTACTATCTAATTCTAAATGTTTTGAGGCGTATGCTCTATAGTTGCACATATTTGAGATCATTTATACCAGAACTCAAACATTTATTGTATCATATATTGTGCACATTATATCTCAAAAACAATGGTGGAAAAATTCCTTCACTTATGAAATCGTTACTATCCTCCCTTGTTCTTTATATTCAACTCATGTTGGTACTTTGGTTTTTTGTTTCATTCATGCATGTTGATATTATATACTCACCTTTTACGTAAAATTTGATTTTAGTTATTATAATTGCTTAGTAGTAACTTTGCATGCATATTAACTAATTAACAAAAAATGCAGCCTTTTTATAATTATTATTTTTTTTTCTTTTACGTACTTTTTCTGTTTCTTTTTGTTTTCGAACGCATGATCTTTTATTATTAGGGCTCTCGGACCACTATGGCTTTCATTCTCAGGGTGATAATCTTTCACAATTATAAATATTTATATTTAGACCATAATTTTTTGCCAGTACATTAGATTATTATATGATATTTTTACAGTTGTACAAAATAGTTACGGATAAATCTACCTCTATAAAAGACAGATTTTTCTCCCGATTTCACCACAAATCCCTTATCCCTTCCCACTTTTTATCTAAAAATCACCCCAAAAAAAATGTTTTCATCCCTTCTTCTCCGATATGTTTCCCATCGACGGTAATCAAAACACTCACACCTTCACTTTTGAGGAAGATCTAAGAAAAAAAAAATTCTTCTAATTATGGCGCTTGTAGTTCAGTTAATAGCAATATTAATTTTTGTCATTATGTACAAAAGAAGCTCATTTATTTTGTCGTTTCGGTAGATTAAAAGCTTGTTTTTGTTTTATTATATTGTTTTGTTGTTATTAATCATCATAGTATAATATTACCGTTATTATTATAATTATTATTATTACTACTATTGTTGTTGTCATTTTGCTATTTTTGCGACTAATATGATTTAGTTTTGTCTAATTATATATTTACTCACAATAATAAACCAAGGGGAGAAAAGAACTATATTATTTATGGTTTATTATTTTTAATTATCACGTGTTTCATTAACCAAACTATAAATATGGAAGAATTAAACATATGTGTTGTACATATGATTTATTATTCTAAACTAATTATCACGTAATTTGTTGTAGTTAAAATGGGAGATCTTATGAAAAGACGATTCAACATCCTAGATTTATCTGGAAATAAATTTTTGGAACGGAAAGTGGATGCCATGATGAATTTGAAAGCTCAAGGGTTGGAGCACACTGTTAAAGATAATAAAAGTCCCTCTGGTCAAGCAACTGATGCTAACACTTCTGCAATGACGGTTGTAAAACCTGTAACTAAACAAGAAAAGGCAAAAGCCTTAGTGTTACTAAGGCATCATTTACATGAAGACCTTAAAATTGAGTACATGATGGTTGAAGATCCCAGAGAATTATGGGATTGTCTTAATGAAAGATTTGGACACCACAAAAGGGTGCTCTTTCCTAAGTTATTATTTGACTGGACAAATTTACGGTTGCAGGATTTCAAATCTGTAATTGATTACAATTTAGCCATACATGAGATAGTATCTATATTGATCGGATTGCAAGAACAATATCGTGAAAGAGGTTTCAAAAAGTTTAATGAATTGATGAGTGTATTGCTTGTTGCTGAACAAAATAATAATCTTTTGTTGAAAAATCATAATCTTAGACCAACTTGGTCTTTGGCCACTCATGAAGCAAATGCAACAAATTCTTATCCACCCGAGACAAATGCTACACAAAGAGGTAGGTGGACGTGAAAATTACAATGGTTGTGGAAGAAGCCGTGGAAATTATCGCGGACGAAGCCGTGGACGTGGTAGAAATAATTTTCAAAGAAACAGTAATTTCAAAAATTTTGAAAAACAGAAGGGACAGTCATCTAGAAGCCAAAAACAAACTCCTTCAAAAGGAAAAGACACATGTTATAGATGTGGCATGGCAGGGCATTGGGGACGTACTTGCGTACATCCAAACATTTGGTAGATCTTTACCAGGCTTCTGTAAAAAGCAAAGGAAAAAATGTAGAAGCAAATTATGTTAATGAAGAAAATTCTCCTTGTCCTAGCCTTGATGTGTCTGATTATCATGGACAACGCTGAAATTGGAAATGATTTCATCTTTGGAGAAAATAACAATGCTTAGATTTCCCATCTACTAATATATATATATATATTATGTTTTAATGTAATTTCTTTTATGCACTGTATTTTAAATTTCTAGTCACGTACTTTTAATTTCTATCATCAATAAAAGTTTGTATGATATTATTCTAAACTAATCTCATATTTATTTTATGAAGATATGGATCTAACCGAAGCTAGTTCTGAATATCAATGTCTTTTGGACAGTGGAACAACACATACTATCATGAAGGATACAAAATATTTTTCACAACTAAAGTTGTTTCAAGCAAATGTAAACACTATTTCAAGGTCAGCTAAATTAATTTAAGGATCTGGAAAGGCTTGTATAGTGCTTCCAAATGGAACAAATTGATGATCAATAATGCTTTATATTTGAGTAAATCTCGAAGAAATCTCATAAGCTTTAAAGATGTACGCCAAAGTGGCTATCATTTGGAAACAATGACAACAGACCAAAACGAGTATTTATGCCTCACAGCAAAAAATATGGCAAGAAACACATTTATGAGAAATTGTCAGCATATTCTTCAGGGTTATATCATATAAACATACAACCTGTGGAAATCAGTATGATATCTAACTAGAAGTTAGATGACAAGCATTTGATTATTTTATGGCATGATTGTCTGGGGCATCCAACAACTGGGATGATGCAAAGGATTATAGCAAATTCAGTTGGACATTTAATAAGAAATTGTCAAAATGAAGTTCACATGTATAATTTCTTAGGACATCAATTATATGCATAAGCACAATAATAGGACAATCATGTGTGTATTTTATTGTAAATGTTTGGCTATATAATAAGAATTTACGTAGTAGCATACTACTACAATTTTCACCCATCTCCTTTTACTTCTTCTTTACTTCTCCTTTTACTGATCAAAAACTTTCTATCAGTTAAAATCTTTAACATTAACCCCTTTTATTTTATTTTTCTCACGATTTTTCTTGTTTTTATCCTATATCTCTCATTCTGCCTACCTCCTTCGCTTATTAATCACAATTAAAGCTTAAAGCAAATTATAATTTGGGTATAATGTTATTCAATAGCTTTGAAGATTATAATTTATTAGTTTTTTTTCAATATTATTATCTCCATTAATCAATCTAAAACGTAGCTCTTATTTATATTTCTAAGTATAAATTAATTGTTTTTGTTATCTTCAATCACTCCCTCTCATTAATTTAAAACCCTATTATGTATTCAATGGCTACAATAATTTGGTAGCTATTGCAACAAATTTAATCTAAACCCAAAAAAAATTTAAACATTGAATAAATATCATCAAAGAAAGATAATAAAATTAATTAGCACTTTTCATACCTTCGATCTTTCATGATACATACCTTTTTTTTTAATTTTAATTTATTCTTCAATCAATTTGGCTGGTTGAGGAGCAAAAGTTACAAGCCAAAGTTTTTTAATTGAAACAACGTACTACCTGATACGAATTATAGAGAGTGAAAGGACAGTTGGTGAAGTATAAAAAACTCTGAGTAGAAAATTGAACTGATTTGACATTTATAAGGTTATTGATCGATTTCATTCTGCGATTTGTTTTTTTGGGAACGATTTCATCATTGATTTCATTCTACAATCTAATCTCTAAATATAAATCATGCACTGATAGTTTGAAACCATGCTTAAACGTTATAGAAAATTGAGATATGCTCATTTAATTTATTCATCTTTCTTTTTTACTTTTTTATTTTTATTTTTTATTATTAGAAGTATTATTCTTACTTTGTAAGTTACATGATACATAATTAATAAAATTGAGTTTACAAGAATGAGTAAAAAAAAAAATATATATATATGGTGAGCACAAAGATTTGATCCTTAAACCACAAAATCAAATAATGCAGTTCACCATCTTAGCTAGAGTTAAACCATGTATAAAAAATGCAAAAATATTCTAATTAACTTTAATAGTGGTACATTGCAATACGTTGCTTTAGTGGTACATAGCGGTACACGTCGTTTATTGTAGAATTTTCGTGCAAACAAATACTTTTAGGGATATTCAACATCAATTAGGGCAAATAAGTTAACAAATATTTCTTGAATTACGTGAAATAATGTCTACATACTATTAATGAGAGTTTGTTTGAACTTTTTTAAACGGTAGGGATATAAAGGGAAAATGTTATTAAGTAAAATTATGCTAGATTAGTCACAAAATATCTATATAACTATTATATCAATTAATTTTTCTAATAAACAATAAAAGATAGGCATGTAATTCAAATTGATGCACTTATTCTGATACAGATGCAATATAACGTAAGTCATAGTACTTCCTTTGTTCCACAAAAATTTCCTCTCATTTACTGCAGCTTTACACATCAAAAATTAGGAATCCCCCACATAATGAAGAAGGCATCTTAATAATTATTTTTCTTACCTTTTTTACAAAATATATCAAAATTAATCAAATACACAATACAAGTTGGTATTTTTTTTATGGGATAGAGTATAATAAGAAAATTAGATTCTTAAAAAAAGACTAGCTAGTTAGTTTAGAATATTATAGTATTAAGTAATCAAAATAGAAAAATTTAAAGCAAAAGTAAAAAGAACAACCTAAAATGGCAAGTGAGAATAGATAATATATTATTTTAGAGTAGTTTTTTTTAAAAAAAGTTCATCATAATTTAACTACTTTAAGTAAACTTAAACGAAAGTATTTCATAAATTTTAAGGTATGTTCAATTCACTTATATGAACTTATCTTATCTTATTTTATCTCATTTAAACATATCTGAACTTACTAGACATCATTAAAACTTATTTTAATTGATTATATTATAGATTTGAGTAACTCTTATAAACCCTTATTAGAATATATTTTCCTTAAACTTATTCTATAGGAACCTTTTTTTTTTCTTCCTAGAATGGGCCCTTTGACTTAGTAAGTAGTATTAGTTTTTTTTAAAGGAAAGATAAAGGACCCTATTAACCTGGCACCTCTCACAATACCAATTAAGTCAATCCAACTCCCTAAGTCAACACTTGATCGTAGAGGGAGATGGTAACGCAATTCCCCTATTCTCAAGCAAATGTAGTTAGTGGGGTTTGAACTTGTAACCTTAAAGTCACAATGGGCCGCTATGATATCATCTATGAAAATTCTAATGAACGGTTGAGATTATTTGTTTTTTGATTGATTTTTAATTAGTAATTATAATTAAAAAAATATTTTTTAATAGTTATATATATTTTTTATTTCCAGAATTTCAAAAATATTAAAAAATAATTTTTGGAAGATAAAAATATATTTAAAAAAATTAAAAAAATATTTTTAATTAAAATTACTAATTAAAAATAAATCAAAAAATAAATAATCTCAACCGTCTAATTTAAAAAATTGTGATAGTAAAAAATCATAAAACTACATTAGAATCATCTTATTAACATCTAACACTTGAATATCAATTGTATGATGAAAGTATAAAATATGTTTCATCGTCTGAATAGATTCAATTTAAACTGTCAAAGATAATTTGTATTCAGGAGCAAGACTATGCCATGCATGCAAGTGTATCCAAATGCTTATGTAGTTATGTAAGTGTGTTTCATACTTTCATGAATGTCTCATATAAAAGCATGACCTTTTTTTCGTACTTGTACTTTTATTAAACCTTTTCATAAGTTGCCTTAATAATTTATTCCCCTTTATTAAGGGAATATAGAATGGATAGTTCCACTTGCATGCATGGGGTTTTGTGTCAGCATATAAGTATGTTATTTTATCTCAATGAGTGGATAAATTGATGATTGAGGAAATGAATCCAATTAGGTTTAACACCTTAATTGTAGACATGCGCATATTAAAGGAATTAGGATCAATCATTCTAGGCCAGAATCCAATTTCTAGATTGAGGCAATTGTTTGTGCCTACAATTAATGTAAGAGTAATAAATTACCCTAAACCCCTCAGTGTAACAACTCAAATTTTATGAGAAGTCTCACGACTCGGTTTCATATCTTCTTAGATGGTTTAAAATCATATATGGAGTTAACATGCCTACGCCCTACCTAATTTAGAGTTGACCCTAAATCATAGTTGTCTTTTCCCTCCGTATGATGATCTATTATTAATGGTTTACAAGTTTCTTTTAATACTTGTTGACAGCTCACTATTTTTTATCCCTTATAGTGTATATGATAGTATGTATTATGTCAGATCTAAATAATTACTTTGTATTGGCAAACACATTCACATATGCTAAGTTGTCTAACTCATTAATGCCTACATTTAGTAATTATTTTCATACTATAAAATAGGATATTTAGTTTGAAATCGAAATGTTTCAAACCAATTAAGATAACTCGATAGCAAAAACAATATAACTTGAAGTCTACTAAAACTCATAATAGTTTGACACAATTAAGATGGCCTAATAGCAAAAATAACCCAACCTGAAGCCTACCCAAACCCATAACAACCTGCCTCAATGTGTTTGAAACCTAAATTAGATAACCCGATCCAATCATGACACGAACCAAGTATAATCCAACAAGAGTATGCAAAAAAAAAAATTCTTCATTGACTTGGCCTGGTAATGTCTAGACCTAACCTAACCTGATCTATTAGGTCAAACTGACATGTTTCAACCCGTTTTGATTATTATCAATTTGTCGTGTTTTACTTGAAACCGATTTGATGAGTTTCCGGCCACTTAGTATATATATGGTCAAAATTTTATTTTCTTATAAACATTAATAAAATATTAAAAAAAATGTACAAAAAATTAATTAATATATTAAAACATGTTAGATTAGTCTCAACGTAAATTTTCATAACATCAAAATTTTGTTACTTTTATATATATATACAAAATCGAATATATTATTATCGGTTAAACTTGTGCATTGGAGATCGTATGAACTCAAAAATCCTCAGCATGACAGTTTGTTTAGAAGATGTTAAGCTATTAAAGAGTGAAGTAGATTGTTAAACCGTAAAAGTGATGAAAATAAAACTAAGAAAGATATCTTGAGCAGGAGATGGAATGGGCGGCCAAAGGAATGGGGTCCAGTGAAAGTCACGCCTGCCTACGCTACTGAACAGTCCAAAAATTACCCCTTTTAAAATAGAGGTGGCAATAACTACAAAGTCAAACAATCAACTTATATTCAATACCAACTTGCAACATCGTTTTAATATAAGTAGGTGATTATCATCACTATATCCCCCACTCTTTGATTTCACCCAAAAAAAATAAAAAACAAATAAAGGGAAAAACAAAAAAAAACCGAGTATAATATGTTGTTGTTGGATAAATTACAAATTTTACTTTCATTAGGCAATTTTTACTTTGTATAATTTCACAAATTGATAATTGGTTAAAATAGTGTCTTAACATGTTTTTCGTTATAAGTCGGATTTGGACTTATAATATATCGTTGGAAAACTCTTTTCAAGCCCTATCCAACTATTCAATATTTAGACCAGGATCATGAAATGGATGATTTTAAGGACATGAAATTAATGATTTTCGATTTAAAGGCACGAAATGAATGATTTTGGATTAAAACATTTTGGGAAAGGTTAGAAATGGTTAGGGCTAAAGGTAAATTCACGAGACTCTTCAACACTTCACCTAACCTGATAATCAAAGATGTGAAAGGTACTCATCATTGGGTTTGGTTTTTTTGGGGAGACACAATCAGGTGTCTACAGAAGCCCTCACTTTGACTGAGTTCAGTGGAACATAAGTTTCAAAAACAAAAGTCAAAGTAGATCGATAGGGACGGAGAATGATTTAGAAAGTTCGGAGATCCTAAATCACTCTTTTTAACACCGATACCTGTAGAAAAGTGTCAGTTCTACAGATAAAAGAGTTAAGGGGAAAGAAACACGTATCTAACACTAGTGCATGACAAAAAACACGTTTGGTAGTTTTCTGCGCCTCGAGAATCCACTGGATGATAATTTTCCACGCCTCAGGAATTATATCGTGAATTACTATGGCTCAAGCGATTCATTGGATGATGCTATTCCACGCCTCGGGAGGACTGATATGAGATAGATACCATGCCTCGGGAATCTTATCGTGAATCACTACGCTTCGAGAGACTCACAAATGAAAGGTGACAAGTTTCTGCGCCTCGGGCAACATGTCGTAGTCTCCTACGCCTCGAGTAGCCTACTGAATGATGATTTTCCACTCTTTGGGAAGATTGATATATATAAGATAGTTTCCACACCTAAGGAACCCTATCGTAAGCTCCTACGCCTCGAGTAGCTCACAAGTGAAATTCCATATTCCGAGAATAACATAAGTATCCATGCCTTGGGACACAATCGTCGATTTCTACGTCTTGAGAAGTGTGTAACGATCAACAATTTTCCAAGCCTCGGGATCGGAAAAACTGGTCCAATAATAAAAACTACACGTCTCTACGCCTCGAGAAACCTGCAACGCGAATTGTCCACGCCTTGGGACATAATCAATTTTGTTGAATCTAAGTTGTTTTATTTGACAACCTCCTCATTCTCAGGGAGCGCTATCGAAGATCAACTACGCCTCGAGCAGTCTTCTCAAATTAAAGTGACAATCTCCACATCTTAGGGAATATTGTCAAAGACCACTACGCCTTGAGTCATCTTCTCAATTCTTCTCGTCTTCACGCCTTGGAATTGATAGTTTCTTGCGCCTTGGAAAACCTACCGTAAAACCTTACTCTTCAAGATTCTACCAAGCTTAGATTAATTTCAGTAGAAATCTTCCATCTAGGAAATTTGTGATTATGATCAATCACTGCTCAATCAATGTACTCCACCAACGCTTAGGTGTACCGAAATGTGCTCAACCGATGCTTAGGTGTTACTCAAATGTACTTAGCCAATGCTTAGGTGTACTTAATCAATAAATAAGACGATCGTCATCAGGTCGATCATCAATCAAAATCGTAATTGGGCTGATCAAATCAATCAAATATTTTCAATTGCTCATCGTGAGGCTCAAAGACTCAAATGTATATCAAGATTATCAAAGGAGTAAACGTGAACCACTAAGTCAAATTATGGGACCCACAAAAGCTTACGCAAGCAGAATCAGATTTATCGCGCGGCGACAGGTTTGTCACACCGTGACAATTCTTTCGCGTCGCAATAAATTCGCATTTCGCTAATTTAAATTATTTTTCTTCTCCATTTTGCTGTTCGCCATTTTTGTTCGTCATTTGCTCGGAAGTTTGAATCGGTCGTTCTCCCTCGTTTCTCAACCAAATTTGCTCAAATTTGTCTCAAATCGTTGCATTTTCACTCCACTTTACCGATCTATGTAAGTTTTGCTTAACTTCTTCTTGCTTTGGGTGAATTTCATGTGTTTTATTTGCGAATTTCCGGAAAATCCAAAAATGTTTATGTTCTAGGCTCAATTTTTGTTAAATTTCTTGCAATGAAATTACTTGTATGTGTTTTTATGTTGCTTTGTGAACGTTTTGAGACTAGAATTTCTTGATTTGGTGAAGAAACGAGCATTTTTCCATTGTTGAACACTCTAGGTTCATGAGTACAATGTGACTTGTTCTTCATGATTTTGCTTGCTCTTTGTGCTTAATTTGTTGCAATATTTGTCATAAACTTGCAATAAATTGTTTTGGTGTTCAAATTTTTCGTTGTTGTGCGAATCAAAATCATGCTCTGTTTTTGAATTTTTGTACTCTGTTTTTGACGAACATAGTATCATACGGTTAGACGAACTTTGATTTACTGTTTTAATGTCCACAATAAATAGTATGGCTCGACGTCGAGGCTCGGGTTCACGTTCCCGCTCGTCTCACCGAGAGGACGATCACGTAGGAGATGGAGACGACGCCTCTACTAGCCGGACATGGTCTCTCCTTGAGTGGGATGAGCACACCGTGCCTTTTCAGCCGGTTTTCCATATCTCCCAGCGCGTTTTGCTGTGATTTATTGAGGAGCATGTACGTTGCCATGGTTCAGGCAACGATACCATTTTGTCCGTCTACCGTCAGCACATTGCCGAGAATGAGGCCGTGAAGGTGCTTTGGGAGTCTTGTGGATTGACTCCCCTTCTCCAAGTCGCTGTGGCTTTCTAGTCTTTTCGAGAAAGTCGGTTCATCGTTCGTGGTGTCCTAGAGTTCTTTTGGGACACTACGAACACGTTCCATTTTCCATGGCGTGAGATGACTATCACCCCTCTCGATTTCTCTGCCATTAGTGGACTCGAGTTTCGATCGACTCCACTTCCTGCGGACGACCTTTATACTTTGGCTTCTCCAGAGACCGTAGAGCTACTGGGTCCTATTGCATACAGGGCCGCTACTGAGGCTAAAGATAAGGTCTCGACCAAGAGGACGATTCGCACTCGACTTCTGGTAGAGGCTTTTGATGATGATGCGATAACCCCGGAGCAGCGGGTTCATATTTTTGTTGTTCTTCTCCTGTCGGGGACCTTTTCTCCTAATAGGGGGAGCCGTGCTTTGTTGTGTTATCTCTCTGCGTTGCGCGACCTCTAGCGAGTCGGCACGTATTTTTGGGCCAACATTGGTTACGCTGACCTACTCTTGGGACTGTGGTCGGCATGTCGCCAGCGACATTGCAGGACAGAGATCGTTGTCTCCGGCCTTTGGAAGGTCGTAGAAGTATATCTTCCTCTAATGTAATGATTTCAAGTTATGTCTCGACCTTTTATAGGTTCTCAGATTTTTGACTTTTTAATTTGCAGGTTTGGCTCTACGAGTACATCCCTTCCCTGGCTCCGGCGAGGCCTCCGGCTAGAGGGCTCCCGATAGCTGCCAGCTGGCATGACCGTCGAGCTGGTCTGTCTTTTGCAGTTGTTGTTAGGGCTGTTATTCTTGACGTAAGGATACTCCTATGTTCTTATTTCTTTCGGTTTTCATGGACGAGTTTCTGATTTATACCTTTTGTTGCATCGTCCTGAGGTTTGATATCGCCTAGCATTTTTAGTATACGTCCAAGAGGCGCTTTTTCTAGGGTACCTACGAGGTAGTATGGTACCTAAGCGAGAGAGTGGCCATCCAACACTCTTTAGCCGTTCCTCTAGTCCCCGTGGATCCTCCTGCTCAGATGATGAGCCAGGAGAGACTCCGGGTGCATGCTGTTGATGGTATCATCGGCGAGGACTGACAGAGGCACGTGTACTCGGATCGTTCTTACGCAGAGGAATTACTCCCTGGACTAGCTCATCCACCTTATCGTGAGGAGGTTTGTGAATCTTGATTAGCCACTTTATCTTTTTGTAGCCCCCAATAGTGTTTAATCGTCGGTTTGTTTTGTAGGAGCTAGAGGAGCCTAAGGAGTTCGAGCCCCCACGCATGTCTATTCGTTGCCAGAGGGTTCATGGACTTATCGAGGAGACGATCCCTCTAGCCCCCGAGGAGTGACGTTGGTGGAGCGGTCTATCCCTCACTCTCAAACCTGGGTGAGTTTTCGCTTCTTCTTTTGTTCGGTGCATATATCATCTTGTTTTCTAATCTTGTCTGATTTTTGCAGTTCTCTCGCGAGGTGATGATGCGGATGGCCGTTACTGTCGACGCCTTTCGTTACCAGCTGGAGAGGTGGAGCCACCGAGCGTCGTGTCGACATATGGACGATGTTGCACCGGTATGTCATTATGCATTTCTGTATTATTTATCTCGTTTGATTTTGTTAATGACTAACTAGCATCTCTTTGTTTTTTTTCCTCCTGGTCCTCGGCCACGTACTCGTTCGAGGCTAGAGGGTTCGAGAGAGGCGAGAGCGAGGCGTCGGCGTACCTCGTTGGAGACCCCAGGCAGGCGGGAGGCGCCTGGCCGGGCAGAGGATGATGACGGTGACAGTTCTTTGTCAACGGAGGTGGTCCCACCTAGTTTCGGTACTCCAGTGGTACTACCTCACGTGGTCCCATACGCGTTTACGGCCGGTCCGTCATCTCAGTTTGGTGGTGGGACGTACGAGGTTGGCTCATCGTCGTAGCAGCCTGTGCCTTCTCCCTTTGCTGGTGGGAGTTTTCTGCAGTACGATCCTTATGGGGGTACCTATTGGACGGGTCCTACACTCGTGATTCCCACGACGGGTGGTGTTGACTTTGGTCAGGCGTTGACCTCGCGGTCTTTATTTTTCTATGACACGATGTGTATTCCTTGAGAGCCACGTCCTCCGGCACCCTAGTTATTCCTGCATCATTTTCTTTTTGACTATTTTTGGACTTTGCTTGTTATATACATTTATTGACTCTTATGTAAATAAATTAGACTCGTGTATATACTAGAATTTATTTATTTATGTGCTCTTTTAGTCTTTTTTTCATATTTTACAACTATTTATGTGCATGTGTGTGTGTGATTTTGCGCAAAAATTCCATCATTTTTATTATCATTGGAAGGAATTCGAGTTTCTCCCCCATAAAGAATAAATGAAAGAAGAAAATGAGGTAAAAATAAATTTAGAGTTAATTAACTTGAGGTTCTTAAAAAGAGATTCCCTAATCGATTAGGATTAAATTAAAAGGTTGGATCATCATGGGAAGAGGTGAATAACTTAAGATAAGGTGGGAAAAGGTGAAAAGAATTGGATAAAATCCGTAAAAATCAAAGTACAAATTCGAGTCAAAATCAAATTAGTGGAATAATCAAGGCGCGTTAGTTGTCACGGACGTCAGGTTTTATCGCGACACGAAAGGCTTGTCACGGCGCAATGACTTTGCTGCGGTGCGATAGCTCTATCGCAGTGCGATGGATCTGGGAAATTCCAATCCGAATAAATTCGATTTCTGCTTCATTTTTGTTTATAAAAAGCCCCCAAATACTCCATATTCTGCATAATTCGAGTCATTAGCTTTCTAAATTCTTCTAAGGGTGTGGAGAAGACAAAAATAAAAGACCGCTTAGGTAACAAGAAGGTTCCTCGTAAAGATCGTCTAGGTTTAAAATTTGAATCCAAGACTCCTATCATGCCTAAGAAGAAAAGTGTTGCGGAGGGTAAAGGGAAAAGGAAGGCTAATCCTATACAAAAGGAAAAGAAGGCTTGGGTTGAGAAAAAGGTGGGGGTCTTTGCTAAAGGGAAATTTTTTTCTAAGGTCTCGGTTCGATCATCTAATGGTTCCCTATTGGTAAAGGAGTTAGAGGATGAAGAAGACTTAGACAAGAATTAGAAAAGGGCTCGAAAGGAGAAGACAAATTAGAGCCTTGCTTTGCTTTTAATTTTATTAGACAATTTTTAAATTCCAAGTTAATTTTAATTTCAAGCTTTTAAATCATCAGTAATGTAATTTTAATTTTAATTTAATTATTAATGCAATTTTAGCTTTCAATAAAATTAACTTTTTATTTCTTATATCCTTTATTAAAAAATAATTTTCAGTAATGAAAACTACTTGAGTAATTTGGAAAATAATCCGAGTACGGAAGTCGAAAAATTTTCAAAATAATTTAAAATTGTCGCAATTAATTGTAGTCTGCCTTCGGAGAAAAGATAACTTTGCCGCAACGCGATGGGATTATCGTGGCGCGATAAAACTGACGCAGCGCGACGATCCTGTCTCGGCGTGTTGAATTCTGTTTGTTACAATTTTCTTGATTTTTGTGATTCTAAGTTGATGTTTTGTGAAAAAGGGCGGGGTTTTGAAAAATTAAAGTGGCCGTACCCCATAAAAGGGTTGCCTATTTATCCTTGTTAAGGAATTAGGCCAAACGAAGCTCTGTTGAGTATGGAACTCAGTTACATTATGAGTAGAACTTCTTGAGTTGGTCAAGATTTGTCATGTTCGAGAATTCATCACCATCAATCTCTGTTAGCTTAGTTGCGCCTCCAGATAGGATAGTTTTAACAATGTATGGTCCAGACCAATTATGCCTAAACTTGCCTCTTGGATCTAGAACATTCTTTCTAACTGCTTTTAACACCAAGTCTCCTTCCTTGATGTTTCTTGTCTTGACCTTTTTGTTGAAGTTTCTAGCCATGCGAGTTTGATAACATTGGACACTATGTAAGGCTTCTAGTCGTTTTTCGTCGAGTAGAATTAGATCTTCATATTGTGCCCTAGTCCATTCAACTTAACCAAGCTTACTTTCCAATACTATATGCAAGGAAGGTATTTTTTGTTCTACAGGTTGTACGGCGTCCATTCCATGGACTAGGGAGAATGACGTAGTTCATGTGGATGAGCGGATTGACGTGCGATAAACCCAAAGAGCAAAGTGGAGTTTTCCAGGCCAATCCTTGTAACTTTCTGTCATCTCTTCAATGATGTTCTTTAGATTTTTATTGGCTGCTTCCACTACACCATTTGCTTGTGGTCTATATGGAGAAGAGTGATGATGTTGAATACCATACTTTTTAAGTAGGTCTTCACATTCCGCTTGAAAGTAAGTACCTTTATCACTTATCATTTCATGTGGGACTCCATATCTACATATGATGTTCCTTTCAATAAAGAGTGCCACATGTTTTGCGGTGAGTTTTTCATATGACGCTAATTCAATCCATTTGGTGAAATAATCAATGACAACGAGGATGTATTCATGACCTCCTATTCCAGGGGGAGTGATTTTTCTAATGATGTCTATTCCCCAAGTTGAGAATGGGCATGGAGATGTGTAAGTGTAAAGGAGCGATGGTGAAAAATGTTGCAAATTGGTGTATATTTGGCATTTTGCACTTCTCTTTACATATTGATGGCAATCTCTATGCATGGTAGTCTAGTAGTAGCCTTGGCGCATGACTTTCTGGACTAACATCTTACCATTCATGTATGTTCCACAAGCTTCTTCATGGATGATTCTCATTTCTCTTTGAGCTTCCTTTTTGCCTACGCATAGGAGAGCTCTGCCTTTAGGTACCCTTTTATGAAGTTCATCATTTATGAGTACAAATTGGGAGGCTAAGAGTTTTAAAGCGCGCTTTGCTCTTTTGTCAGCATTAGGTGGATATTCCCCTTTGGTGACATAATTGAGGATGTCTATATACCATGGTTCTTCTTCCTCTTCTTGGATTTCTTCTTCATCCTCAATATCTTGAATATAAGCAGGCTTATGCTTTTTCTATATTGTTAAAGGCATTTTCTCAATTTCCTTAGGAATCCTAACCATCAAGGCTA